CATAATAATCATATACATTGTATATTGACAAAATAAAAATTTAAAAAAAAAAAAAAAAGGATCTGAGACCAAACTTAGAATGTAGCCTAAGACTTTAACCCTATAATTATACCAATTAATAACAATTTAGTTGGTGATGTTCTGTGTACAAATCAATATTTTCAGTACTTTTTGCCTCTAAAGACCATCACAGGTCAAAAATTATGTGATTCCATATATTAGAGCATGTGGCACTCCAGAACTTTCTGTTTACTTTGTCCAGTACCACTACTGTTGAAAGTCTGAATTTTTACATGTAGAGTCCCCCAACGTTGCTGAGTCACACATCACATCACACCGTCACTGCTCAGTATGATATACATACATTCCAGTTGTTTCCACAGGTAAAAATCACAGCTCCACTTGGGCTTTTAACATTTCCTGAAAGCCTGGCATGTAAGTTGGACAAGCCAGCCTGCAGGGCAGCCTAATTTGTGGGATTGACTGGCTCTTTACGTGCCACATAACCGAAGCTGAGGCAGGCTCTGACAGCTTTATACAGGTAATATTTTTCGCTGGGATGATATGCTCTCCAAGAATTTTCCTAATGTTTTAGGCATTGAGACACCTTGCAGGCACAGCAGGCATCATGTTTTCTATTTCAGTTCCCTTCATATTTTTCAGATTTACTTACTGTGGAAAACATTAAGAAATCCCACCCATAGCTTTTCCCATGTTTGTTTCCTTCCACCATGAAACAAAGCACTAATGCAGTGTATGCTGTTAATTCCAAGTCCACTAATGCTTTTTACATTACTGTGTATACCTTACTATCATATTTTATGATTTTATCAAGAGGTTTCATGTGTTTTATTATGAAAATATTGCATTTCTCTATTCCTGATATCTAATCTAGTCCTTCTGTCCAAAAATGCTGTAGAGGCAGGACAGAGCTGAAGACATAAAGATTCGTATGGATCGCAGTGGCCAGAACTTTGGAATAAGTGCTCTGCCCTCTGTGCTAGGTGCTTAATATTGGAAGCCATTGCTCTGTGTGTGGGGGGGGGAGGGGATCAGGAAATTCAAGATTTGTACTAAAATTGCACCACTCCCCTCTTTGAGAAAAATACCATATTTGAAGTGGAGGCTCATATATGAAGACAGATCCCAGTACAACGTGTATTAATAGACGCTTTGTTGCTTTTTATAGGCTGATATTATGATGATTGCAGATTAAATTGTAACCTAATTGAAGGTGTATTTGTAACATTTACATCCACTCCTCAAATTTAAAGATGCCTGTGTCCTTTCAAGTCAACACTCATTACGCTATATTTCCAAGATGGAGGGAACTGTGCTTTCAATAATATCTCCACTTAGGGATCCAGCTAAAATAATCTGAACAGGAAATTATTTTGGTAAAGAACATTTGAGCAACTCCCCCCCCAACACACACATCTGGCTATATAAATACAATTTAATGGCAGAATTTGGGCATTACTGTCATTAAAATTTAATAGGCAGCAATAGTGCCTTAGATTAATACCAAATTGGGAATCAGAATCTCATTGTTATGGGTACACACTAAATAGCCTCATCCTTTCAGGCCATGGGAAAAGCATTTTCCTGACTTTTCTCTCAGCTCTCATTACCTTTGACACTCCCTGATCTGTGATGGGTACTGCCGAAAATCATATATTACCTCCACCTGGAACAAACTGAAGACAGAGCACCGTGAACTTGGACAGCTCGTTCATTCTGTTAATTTAAAAGCATCCCTTGCAGAAACTGAAAATATGGAAGCTTTGTCCTCTTCTTTTCTCTACCCAAATGACCTTGACAATTAGCATTTTTACTGATTTTTCTTTTCAAGCATCATTTTCGAAGATGTGCATGGATTACCTCTTAGTTCTGACAGAAAAACGCAGAGCTCAGTAGACCAGATAAAGTGGGGAATCTATGACAACTCCACATCACCCCAATTTGACAAGTGCCCAGCTTGCTTATCTATAAAGCATGCATGTCTCTTAGGATCCATGAATCTCATGGCAAAAGCAAAATTGATGTTACCATTTAGCGGCTTGTAAAATTGTCATGTTGCTACTTACATCCAGTGTCGTGGAAGATGCTTCAGACAGCACCATCAAACATTTTTCTAATCTTATCCACAAATTTTAGTTAGCAGCCCTAGGTTTGTGCTCAGTCTGATCTGTCTCACTGGTCTGAGTGGTGTTTTAATTAAACAATGTTCTGAGGCTGCATATTAAATAGAAAGGGAAATTAGGGCATATTCCTAAGTAGAATTCACCTTGTCTAATATAATAAGTAAAGGCAAATTTTAATTTTAAATTTTATATATAAACTTATTATATAAATAATGTTTTATGTTAATATAAAACAACATAAAATGTATTTATTAACATAAAACTTATTATTATTTATATATATACTTATTATATAAAATTTTAATTTTAAATTTTCATTTTTCCAAATCCTTACTGTATTTATGTTAGATATCTGGTTGTCCCCAGACATTGGATCTATTCAATTCACTGAATTTAAAAAGACAACTCCACTAGAAAAATATCTGTTGTGTGAATTCACCCCAAAATACCCAATTGACAAAAGTATTGCTAACATTGCATTAGGATAATAAATCAATTGTAATGAATCATACCCATGAAATGTAACACCCTGTGGTTCTGAGCTCTTCAAAAATTACCTGAGGGTTTGGGTAGAGTAAAACATACATGTACTTCTCCTAGCTGCAGGTATTATAAATTGTAATGAATTAATACTTTGTGAAAATGTTTAATGGCTGGCTCTGCCCATCAGTGATGAATTGTAAATTTCACTTAGACTAATATATACTAGAACACTCTGAACCACAAAACCATAGAACACCCTATGGAAAGCCAATCATTTGGGGGGCATAAAAGAAAACAGCAACAGCAACCACCACTGAAAGCATAGCAAAGCATGGTCATTTCCTTCATTTGTTTCTCCTAAACCTTAAGATTTTCATTGATAAGGCAAAATGAAGAATTAATGCAAAAAAAAAATTTTTTCCCCTCCTAACCTATCCTGGTTATCTTCATCCCCCTAGAAAATGGTGGCTAAATTCTTAAAGCATTCATTATTTACCAATATTCACTTTGAATCAATAATTATAACTATTAATAAATATTAATAACTATGCAGCTCCCAGTCCTTGCATCCCTCTGACCTCCCAGTTGGAGCTGCTTACTCCACTTATCAGCCTGTAGAATAGACTGACATCCCTGTAGAGGTAAATATTACAGTCTAAGGAGGAAGACAGCTTTGGGCCTCCAACCTCCTACTCTGAACCTGATGTCTCCCCCAGGCTTTCCCTTTTAGAAGCCTATAGGGAAAGGCTCACCTACTTCTTTATCTGTAAACAAGACCTTGCAACCTGAAGCCAAAATGCCATTCCTGGTCCCTGAAAGGGAATAAAACTCTGATAGAGCTTCCCTGTAGAAATACCTGTTTTCAGCTCCCAGGCATTTGTAGGTCTCCTGCAATGCCTTTATGCCTAACACTCCACTGACCAAGACGAATGCCCAGCGTTTATAACAGGTTTGAAATTCTGTTAAGACTACCTGGAGTGGCAGATTCCCAGAATGAACGGAGTCACCCTCTGCAGCACCCATCACGCCCAAAGGTTCTTTTCACAGAAGCCTCAGATATCGGCTCTCTAAGGTAGCTGTCAGCTCAAGAACGAGTATCAGTTGGGGAGACTTTCACCAATCCTGTCCCCTCCAGAGGCCTGTGCCTTCCCCTCTGAACCATTAAATCCTAGTCTGGCCTTAGGTCTAAATCACTAAAATTAATGTTTGCCCCACCCCACAGTTTTGAAGCTTTATTACTGCAGCATTTTATTCATGAGGATTATAAACTCCAGACCCGTGAGGTTTCCCAGTGCAGAAGGCATAAGAAGAACTAGCATAAATTAACCCCAACCTCCAGAAACCACTATACTGACACTCACTGTCAGGAAAGCATAACAAACTGTGCAGCATTATAAATATGGTTATTCTTCTTTAGAACCTCCATGATATTTTTTCAATGCTTTTACCTTCTGGGCCTCTGTACAATAAAACCCTAGCCCTACAATCTGTAGTTTCTTCAGTACCTGACCACTTTTTTTCTGAGTGGTTGGCAATTTCATATACATTTGGGCTCATTTGCTTTTGTTTATATTTGATCTTAGGGTAATTTTTCATCTCTTTTGATTTATTTTTTGAATTAAAGAACATGAACATTAACATGCTATAGAAAAAGCATGATATACTCAAGGAAGTCTCCATCCCTCACCTATATCTTCCGCTCCTGCTGGACTGTTCATAGTTAAGCAGTTTCTTGCTCTCCTTTTTTGTGTTCCTTAGCTCAAAAATGAGCATATGAGTGTTTTCGTTTAGCAGTATATCCTGCAAATAACTCTATATCAGATCATAGAGATTTTCCTGATAAATTTTACAGCTATATTGTACTGCACTGTGTGCACGTATAATGTTTATTTAACCAGTTGTGTTTGGTTGGATATTTAAGATATTTCTATGATTTGCTATTAAAACAATGCTGCAACAAATAACTTTGTGCATTTGTTTTTTTGTATTGTTGAGGATGAAACTTTAGAGAAATTTCTCAAAGGAAAGGTTGTTGAGTCTAAGAGTAAAGCATGTCTGATTTTGTTAATTCCTGCCAAATTCCCCTCAACAGAGGTTGTACCACATTGTCCATCCACCAGTGACGTATGTGGGGCCAGTTTCCCCACAACCTTTTCAAAGAATGTGTGGTCAAGCTTTTGAATTTTTTGTGAATCTGATAGTTGGGGAATGGTGTTTTAATATAGTGTGAATTTGCATTTCTCTTGTGATGGGGGAGGTTGAGCATCTTTTCATATTCAAGGGTTATTTATGTATACCTTTTGTGAACTGTCTGTTCCTGGCTTTTGCACATTTTTCTATTAGGTCCTTAGTCTTTTTTTTTTTCCTTCAATTATGAAAAGTTCTTTATTAAGTAGAGTAGCCCTTCATCACTCATATGTGTTACCAATATTTTCTTCCAGTTTTTCATTTATACTTTAATATTAATTATGGTGCTTTGAGCTATACAAGACATTATTCTTTTTAGCTTTTACATAGTCCTATTTGTCAAGTTTGAGTCTTTCCTCATACCCAGGTTTTAAAGGAATTCACCCGTAGTTCTCATATTGTTTCATTTGTCTCTTTTCCATTTACCATGGGAAACTGATTTAAAATCTTTCTACTTAAGATTTCCATCTCCACTGGGGCCAATTTTCATAAATTATGTTTTCCTAAGAAATTGCCTATTTCATTTAAGGTTTTGATTTTGTTAGCATAGATTTGTGCAAAGTATTATTTTATTATTTTTATAATTGCTTCCCTCTTGGTATTTCTTATCTTGTTATATGTATGACTTATTTTTTTAATCTTAAGCTAGCTAGTGTTTATTTTGCTGATTTTTAGAAAGATCAAACAGCATTTTTATTAGTGTTACTATTTTTCTATTTTATACCATATTAATTTTTGTTTTTATCATTTATATTCCATGTGTGTGAGTGTGTGTGTGTGCATCCATGCAGGTTTTCTGAAGGGGCTCTTTGTTGTCCTTTTTATAGCTTTTTAAACTGGGAACTTATTTTCATTAGTTTTATTCTTCCATAAACATATAGTATAAAATTTCAACTGATCACTGTTTTAATTGTATCCTACAGATTTTGCTATTTAATATTTTCACTCCCACTACTTTTAGAAAAACTGCAATCTCAGTTTACATTTCCTCCTTGACCTAAGAGTTGTTTATATTGAATTTTTAATTTCTAGGTGAATATTCTTTTGATAACAATTTTAATATTAATGTCTAGATTTTATGGCATTATTATTAGAGATTGTTGTTTATATTATTTCCGCTTTGTGGAACTTGAGACTTTTTTGCAATAATAGAGAATATATATTCTTCTCAAGTACACATGAAACATTCTCCAAAATTGTTTATATATTAGATCACAAAAAAAAAGACTTGCACTTGAGAAGAATATATATCTCTATTATAGAAGTGTAAAATTAGGGAGAGAGAGATGGGAGTAAGGAGGAGGATGAAGAGTCCAAAGATCTGCCTAATTAATTATGCTGTTTAGTTCTCCTATATCTGTGAATTTGTAACTTGATCTGTCATAGACCGAGAGCAGTCAAAATGCTTGTTATCAGTGCACTTCTCATTGCAAGGGATGTAGTTATGGTCTTATGAAGGTGGTTTATTATTTGGTATTGATAATTGCTGTATCTTCATTATGAATTATGACTTTTATTGTTATAAAAAGGGGTTCCTTGTCATGTTTAATGCTTTTGAGTTGAATTTTTAAATCTGATAGCAAGATCGTAGTTCCTGCTTTCTTACTTTTTCTATCTGTCCGGCATATCTCTGTACAACCCTTATTTTTAGCCTTTCTGAATTACTTTGTTTAAATGTGTATCTTCTTTACAGCACAGAGGCTGGTTTTTTTTTTTTTTTTTTTTTTTTTTTTTTAACCCACAAGGGTGGTTTTTTTTTTTTTTTTTCTTTATCAACCAATTAGAAAATCTTAATGAGAGGTAATTTTTTTTTTTTTCTTTATCAACCAATTAGAAAATCTTAATGAGAGGTAATTTTTTTTTTTTTCTTTATCAACCAATTAGAAAATCTTAATGAGAGGTAATTTTTTTTTTTTTCTTTATCAACCAATTAGAAAATCTTAATGAGAGGTAATTTTTTTTTTTTTCTTTATCAACCAATTAGAAAATCTTAATGAGAGGTAATTTTTTTTTTTTTCTTTATCAACCAATTAGAAAATCTTAATGAGAGGTAATTTTTTTTTTTTTCTTTATCAACCAATTAGAAAATCTTAATGAGAGGTAAATTATATTTATTTCTATGTTTGTTTGTTCTTTTTTTTTTTTTTTTTTTTTTTTTCTTTTTGTCTTTTTTACTGACCGGTACAGGATCGCAACCCTCAGTGTCGCGCCCGCGCCGCGCTCAGCCAGTGAGCAGGAACTGGTTACCACATGGGATCCGAACCCTCGGCGGGAGCCCGGCTGAGCTCCCAAGCGGCGCACTCTCTAGTGCGCCACCAGGCCAGCCCTCTATGTTTGGTTTTAATTGTCATATTTCATATTGTATTTATTGGCCATATCATTGTTATATTGACTGTGTTTCTTTCTCTATGTGGCCTGTTTTCTTTATTCGTTTTGGTTTCTTTTGGTATTTAGGACAGTTTATATTTATGTTTTAATGTTTGGCTTCATAAGAATATCTTTTAGAACATCACATATTGCACGCAGGCATTGATATTCAGCTCTGTACTCCACAGATATGTACAATCAACTACGTTTCATTAAGAAAAGAATAACTTTTATAAGGCCCTTATTTAGTTGTCAACTTTAAATGATATTCTGTGACTCCCACCAATTACCTAAGCAACAATCAATGAGGTCATTGGCTATTCTTCTTTTCTTTTTCTCTCCTGTCTTTTTTAATTGCATTTTTTTCTACACTGCTTAAACCTATGGCATTTGCATATCATTCCCTACCCTTGTCTTCGCATTCATTCTAAACTTAGATCTACAATTACAAGTGTGGACTGATTGCTATTAGTTCTTTCCTCAAGTCATTTCTTGGTTGAAGTAGCTTGGTTCAATTAAGTAAGTATCTAAGGAAGGATTCTTGGGTATAGTATACTGTTTGTGGGATGCGTGAGAGAGAGAGAGAGAGAGAGAGACAGAGTGTGAGAGAGAGAGACAGAGAAAGTGAGAGAGAGAGACAGTGTAAGAGAGAGAGACAGAAAGAGTAAGCGAGAGACAGAGAGAGAGAGTGAGAGACAGAGAATGTAAGAGAGAGAGACAGAGAGAGTAAGCGAGAGACAGAGAAAGTAAGAGAGAGAGACAGAGAGAGTGAGAGAGAGAGAGTGCGTGCATGTGTGTTAGTACTTGAAGGATAGCTTGACTGCATATAAAATTCTTCACTCACACTTTCTTTGAGATTCTTTAAAATTCTGCTTCACTGTTGTCTATATGTATCTGAGGGTACTTGAGAAAGTTCATGGAGAGATTCATATTAACTTTCAATTCTACTTTTCCACAGACTTTTTGAAGTACCCTCCTGTGTTGTGCCTGAGATCTGATGTCATCTTGATATTTTTTCCATTTTAAGAAACTTAACTTTTAGCCATTTTTTTTTCTTTGTCTTTTAGAGTCTAATAGCTTACTGGTATGTATCCTAGAACTGACTGCTCTCGGATGACTTTTTTCAGGTACATGGAGAAACTTTTTAGTATATAGATATGGTCATTTTATTTCTGGAAATTTTTTTGAGCAGTTTTGAGTAGTTTATTATTTTTCCTTCAAGTATTTCAATTATACATGTACTGGATTATCTTTGCTTATCTTCTGTATTAATGACTTCTATCTCATTCTTTTTACCTTTTTTTATTTTATTTGTGTTTTCTTAGCTATTGCCCTGTCTTTCCTTGATGGTTCTGATTATATTTTCAGTTGAATCTATTCTATTCTCTTTGGGGAACCTTATAATTTAGCATTCATTTCAGAGATTTTTTGAAACTTATTTCATCATTTTGGTCAACTCTCCTTTACTGTCTATCTCTCTGTTCTTTGTCCATTTCTGTTCAGAGCTTTTAAAATTCTGATTCAAGGCATTGTTTTACATTTATAAATGCTTGTTTCAGAATATCTGCAGGTTTCAATAATTTTAATTATAATCATTATATTTTTCTTGTTTTTGTTTTTGTTTTCTTTTGAGGGAGGACAACAAACTTTCTTTAACTGCACTATTTAGGCTCTCATTTTCTAATTTCTTATAGTAATTTTGTATGAACGTTGTCTGCTATTTT